TTTCTAAGTGTTAAGATTATAGGCATATGCTACGTTATTTTTGGTGTGGTTATGTGGCATGGGCTATGTGCACGTCTGTGCATAGGTAGGGGTCAAAGGAGGATGTTGGCTGTCCTGCCCCACCACTCTGCACTTTCCTGTGAAGTGGAGTATCTCACTGAATCTGGAGCTAGGCTGGTGGCCAGCAAGCCCTGGTCAGCCTCTAGTCTATGCCTCCCTTGGTGCTGGGGTTACAGGCAGTTGTCATGCTCTACTGGTTCTGGGCATTTGAACTCAGGTCTTCACACTTGCATAGCAAGCACATTTCAGCTCCTTTCTCGCTTTTTCAAGAGCAGAGACTCAAGCTGCCAGGTGTGCGCATCCTTGGAGGGTTCTGGCTGTACTCACTCTGGTCTTTCCTTCCAGGGGAGTGGAGTAAGGCCGGTGGCCGGGTCTGCTGAGTCCGCAGCACTCAGACTACGTGCACCTCTGCAGCAGGTGCAGGCCCAGTTGTCACCTCCCCAGATCATCTTCCCATGGATTCTGACACTGTCGACTCTTCAGACTCTGAGGTAAAGCTCATTCTACACTATCTAGATGATGTGTGACATCAGCAAATGGAGAAGTCAGTGTTGGTGGGGTTAAGGGTAAGCAGTTACTTTTTCCTGGTGCTGACTGTCACATTCATTCTAACAGTGACTGTTTTATCTCTTGCAGTCCGATATCCTTTTGGGCATTCTGGACAAGTTGGACCCTGTCATGTTTTTCAAATGTCCTTCCCCAGAGTCTGCCAATCTGGAGGAACTCCCAGAGGTCTACCCAGAAGGACCTAGTTCCTTACCAACCTCCCTTTCTCTGTCAGTGGGGACCTCATCAGCCAAGCTGGAAGCCATTAATGAACTCATTCGTTTTGACCATGTATACACCAAGCCTCTAGTCTTAGAGATCCCCTCTGAGACAGAGAGCCAAACTAATGTGGTAGTGAAAATCGAGGAAGCACCTCTCAGCTCTTCAGAAGAGGATCACCCTGAATTCATTGTCTCAGTGAAGAAAGAACCTTTGGAAGATGACTTCATTCCAGAGCTGGGCATCTCAAACCTGCTTTCATCTAGCCACTGTCTGAGACCACCTTCCTCCCTGCTGGATGCTCACAGTGACTGTGGCTATGAGGGCTCCTCTTCTCCCTTCAGTGACATGTCTTCTCCACTTGGTACAGACCATTCTTGGGAGGACACTTTTGCCAATGAACTCTTTCCCCAGCTGATTAGTGTCTAAAGAGCCACCCAAGAGTGGCTCCCTTTCCCTGACCATACATTGCCCTGGATGACAGCAGAGAGGCCAAAGTAGAGGCTGTCTGGCCTTCAAGAATTCCTCTAAAGTATTTCAAACCTCATAGATGACTTTCAAGTATTGTCTTTTGACACCCAGCTGTCTAAGGTATTCAGAGATATTCCAGAACTACAGCTTTTGAGATTCTAGTTTATCTTAAAGATAGTTTGTCTGCAACACAGGGACGGTCACTTGACAGTTACCATTTCCCAGCTAGCTTCAAACTATGTAGCTGAGGTGAGGCTGGAAGGCCTGACCCTCCTGCCTCCACCTCCCAAGTGCTGGACTTACCCAGGTGTGCACCTCCACAACAGCCTCTTGACATGTCCTAAAGTAGACATGGGATTTATGAATGGCCTTTTATCATTTCTCCCCCAATGCCAGCTTCCTTTAGTTTACAAGCAGAGAAACACCAACCTAAGGAAGTTTTTCCTTATGTACAGTTAGTTCAAGTGAAGATCAAGACTCTGTACAATTATAGAAATTTACTATGTAAATGCTTGATGGAATCTTCTTGCTAGAGTAGCTTCTGTAAGGTGCTTTCTCCATTTATTTAAAACTACCCATGCAATTAAAAAAGCGATGCAGCATCCTGGTTCTGTGGTTTTTAGGGCTGTTGTATTTCTTCATTGTTAGGGGGTCACTTATCCAACTAAAGTGAGGGTACACCTTTTAAAGTCACTGAAGGCTTTCCACATCGATCGCCACCTTTTCCAACTCCTGTCGTAAATGCCCCAAGTCTTATTCTGAGACACTTTCTTCAGGCCAGCTGACCACAGCTACTAAATGGCAGGATAGAGCCCTAACCACCTTTATATTTTTTAAATCTTGGTGGTAGTTGGGCAGGGCCAGGTATTACCTGCATACTAGGCAGGAGTTATACCACTGAGCTACAGCTTCAACTACTGTTTTGGCATCATATATCAAGATCAGCCATTATCAGGAAGTACCATAGACTCCCAGACTCCAACTCCCAACTCTTGAGCAGATTAACTGAGGGGAGACGGATAATCAATTACAACTTGGAAAGAGGGACACTGGTATCCCTAAAGGCTGAACATGCCTCAAGTTAAATGCACGTCATACCTGCTAGCACTGGGAAGTTCAGGTTTATCTCATGTACTTTGGAAAGGTTTTAATCCCTTACTGAATCTTAGTAAAAGGGCTTACTTCAAAGCACTGGATTGAGGCTATGTTTTTAGCATGCATGAAGCCTTGGTTCCACCTCTAGAACTGAAACAAATACACAGATTCATTCAGGAAAAAAGCCCTGAGACAATGACGTCACCCCTCACTGTGCATGCTGCCCTGGCAGAGGACTTTTTTTTTTTAATACCCATATAGGCAGATGAAATAATTTTGCCCCCATTTAGCATTTAAAAATATTTTCCCTATTAAGATTACTTTTGGGTGATTGAAGCAAATGTATAGATGAAAAAAAAAAAAATTCTGAGATTCCAGTCAGCAGGGTCAAGTAGGCTACAGATTCTTCAGGCCAGTTGACCACAGCTACTAGTGGCAGAGATAGAACCCTAATCACTTTTTTTTTTTGTGGTGCTGGTGTGGGCGGTGCTGGGTTATTAAAACACCCATATCACAAATACAAGGTCATGTGTTGACTGTTGTGATAGTAGGGGTTTCCACATGCAAACTTGAGGGCAAGTGCACAGCCCAATCCAGTGCTCAGCAATGCAAGCTCACTTAGGCCAGGTTCCAGTGTCATGACTGAGAACTATCTCACCTTCACTCCATGTGTGAGGACCAATAACCTACTTAGGGATTATACAGGCAGATAGATTTGCCTCTGTCCACACAACACAAGCATCTGTAGGTTAAGCCCAAATCAGTTACAACTAATAGCATCACATCAACGAAGCGGCTGCTGTACTAACAGGACAGGACAGTGTGTGCATTTTCAGGATTTCATTTCCTACACAGATGGCCAAAAACGATACCCTCATCTGCTTTGAGAAACCACCTGCTTTTCAAGGATATTTTCATATTGAAACACCAAACTGAGTGGCTGGATCTAAAAATTAACATTCTCCCCCTGACGAAGCCAAATACTCTATTAAATGAAGCTATTCCAAAATCCAGACTAAAGGTGTAAGCAATGGCTGCAGACAAAATCCCTGGACCTCAAAAAAACAGCTATGCACCTGTCTCATTGCTTTTCTAACATGAGCCACTGGAGCTAGACAGCAGACACATGGCCTGTCCCAGGAGTATTTCAAATACCAGTTCAATTCTTTATTCTTCTGACTTTATTGAGATGTATTTTTGTATTTTGTGTGTACATACTCATGTACAGGTATGCATTCCCATTAAGTACAAGTGTTACAGGCCAAAGGTCAGCATCAGGTGTCTGGTGCAGTTAGTGTCCACTTATTTTCTGAGATAAGATCTCTCCCTGACCCCGGAGCTCACAAATTTGGGCAGATCAGCTAGCCAGTAAGCCTCAGGGACCCCCTATCTCTGCCTTCCTAAGTGCTGGGATAACAAATGTGCACACCTCCCAGCCCCAACAACTGAATGTTAGGGAGGGACCTGCACTCAGGTTGCTTGCAAGTTAAGCACTTCAATGACTGACCCGGTTTGTTTGAGACAGGGTCTCCTGCGATGTTTAATATGGAGCAGAAAATGACTCTGAACTTGGGACCTTCCTTCACCAACTCCCAAATGCTAGGATTACAGTACTGGATCACCTTACCTGCTTTGCCCTTGTGACTTAAACTTTTTTTTTTTAATTCTTTGACAACCTACTATTCATATGTTTTATCACAGTCACCCTATTATCTTCATTCCCCCTCGCACTGAACCTTCTCCTCCCAAGAAACTCCACTTCCATTTTGTATGAGTGTGTTCTACTGTGTTTCATTAAGCTTGCTTGTATAAGCATGGGTGGTGGTTCACTGCGGCATGGAGCGTGGAACTCACTGTGGAGCAGGCTGGCCTTTAACTTTTGGTGATCCTCCTGCCTCTGTCTCTTGAGTGATGGGATGATACAGGCAAGTACCATCATACCTTGTTCAACGAACCAGGTTATTTCAATGAACTCTCCATGACAACATCACAGGTATTGCTACTAAAATTTCTATAAAGCCAACAGTTGGTCAAAAGCAAGAACCCTAGACCCAATGAGCTGGTTAGTTAGATACTAAACTACAACTATCTATTTTAATCTTAGTTTCCAACCCATTATGTTAGATAGCTTTTACCCACAGTTTTCAAAAATTGGTTAAAAATAAAACTATCTTGTTTTCTGCAACTGCAACCCAAAGACAAAGCTCCCTGCCTTGGGAGTCAATGACCCAGTTATCAATGAATGACTAAATATGTAGGCCATCTGCCACCCAGTGACCTGCCAGTTCTTAGCAAAGGAAAAACATGCATCAACATCATAGACTTTGGCCAGTCTCCACCTCTAAAGGTCCCAGGCCCTCCAGCTTTAGAGTCTCCGGGTCCACATTAAAATACTGAAGGCACAGTCCAAGGTCGGCATGAGACGGCCCACAGGAGAGCCCTGCTCAGGGGAAGCAGGGCCACGGTCACATTCACAAAGGTCAAGCCGCCTGCCTAGTAAGAAACAGCTCACCTTTACCTAACAGTATCAAACTTGCAGGACAGATGTAAGTTTTTCACTGATAGGAAAAAAGTCTGTTTCATGTACATATATACAAGATTACAGATACTTTAAAAAGTTCAAAACACTTGAGTTTTATTGAAAATAATAAAATACAGAAACACCAGGTTCTCATCTTTGAAGTAAAGCTGACACATCCTCTAGATGTTCCTAGTTCTGTACCATTCTTGTCACTATTCACCAGGACAGGTTCCAGATGCAGAGCAGCAGGTGAACCTGTTAGTTAACATTCTCCTCTGCCGTCTAAGTCCTGTCCTACTTATGTTTCTAAATTTTACATTTTTATCTTTTCAAGAATGAGCAGTTTTAAACTGATGTATATTATGAGAGCTGGATTCTCATATTATTCTTCATATTAAGAACAACAACAAAATAACCCAAACTAAGAACCAAAAACCCCACACACACCCGATTTAAACTCAGAGAAAATATACATTTGTTCATCAGAGCTCACCTGCTTTAGATACTTGTTGACCTTCACATTAGTACATTGAGCCAATGTTTGATCCATGCTGCAAGAAACTATACAAGATGAAAAAACCTGTTAATCCCTTAGGAAAACCTTAAGGGAATGAAAGCAAAAGCCTTATGCTAGAAAAGAAAACAGAGCATGGGGCTGGAGGCAGTCAAATGAGTAAGAACCACAAGGATGAAGATGATTTTTGTACAAACATGTGCAAGTAGATAAAGTCCAAAAGGAGCATGAAACATCCACTTTCCTGCAGAAATAGGATCATATCAGGTAAGGACTTCTGACAAGTTAAAAGACATCCTCCAGTAGTTACCAACCCCATCAAAGCCACTTAAGGCCTTTCAGGGGCAGTCTGGTATTCTGGGCCCTTTGGAAGCTGCCATTTCCTTCTAATATGGGGCTAACTCCAGACTCTTGGCAGTCCCTGCATGTCTCTCAACTGTACCGATATTTCTTAGCATAGATATTTCTTTAAGGCTATAAACTTTACTAGTTGGTCCCATTAAACAAGCCATTAGTTTTTCAAATGACATGAGTCAAACACTTGCACATTTCAACAGAAGACAGTTACGTTCACCTCTCTGAGATGAAGAAACTATTAGCTGGTTTCCAACTGGTTTCAATACTGGTTTGAAGCTTGAGTAACTTTGTGTAGACATAAATATTTTGTTTAAATATTAAACATTAAACCTTTTCCTGACATCCAGACAGAAAGAGAGGGGCAGGAACAAAGAGAAGGCAAGAGGAGAAACAGTCTAATGAACAGACTTGTGCCTCCTCTGCCATCCACAGGAGGGACTTTAGCAGGAGTTGCAAAAATGCCTGGAAGCTAAGTTTCTAAAAACTCACCTCTACTCTACAGAAACATCTTTTTTTTTTTTTTTTTTTTTTTTCCTTTTCCTACAAAGGGAGAAGAAACCCAGAAAATGAAAACCAAACTGAGGTTTTCTGCTGTAGAAAGAGTTATTTACTACCTCAGCGGCTATGTTGCAGAGACTGCTCTACAGCGCTGAAGCAGCTGTCATGCCTTTGTTATACATCCTGCCATGCTGAAGAGCTCTTCCTGAGAAATTAAAAACTTAACCCTGGTTATTCCCAAAGAACACCTTGAGCCTGGTTTGGGTACTAAAGGGTAAAGATTTCCTGCTGGCAGGAGGCCATCTCCACTAACTTAGGCTTACTGCACAATAGCTTAAAAGCACCGAACAAGTAGCTATCTCCAAGACACCTGTCCATTTCTTCTCAGCTAAGTCACTGTTTTCAACCAACATTAAAAAAAAAACTCAACTTGTTAATACAAGTACAACCTTCCCTTTTTAAACTCTAGAAGCTATCAATGCTGGGTTTAGCTGACACAGCATGTCCTCAGGATTCATGAAAAGACACTTCTCTCACAGGCATTTGCAGAGGGGGTTAGCCCACATTCATTAAATCACTCACGTTAAGTTAATTGAAGTGTAAACATTACTGACCAACTGAGCTTATCAGTCATGAAAGGATACCAAAAACTACTGCTTGAAACAATACAGCTACACCAACCTGATGCCAACACAAGTTTCCTTGTCTGTTCAATTGCTTCACAACAAACTCAAAGTACTGCTATCTTCCCTCCTGCTGTCAGGTGTACAGAAACCACAAGGGGCTCAATACATGACTTCGTTGTCAGGGTGCAGTGGCAATTAGGAGCATTCCTCTACGTAATCATCTCAAGAATGGCTTCAACAACGGGACAGATGACTTAAGTCACCAATAACACATCCAGCATCTACACCTGTCTTTACAAAGACTAATATTTCTTGGATAAGCCTGCTAGAAAACTGCACTTCCCTTGAGATAAGCTTCCTTGGCAAAAAGTTGAATTCAATAAATGGCTACCCACAATGACAGTCCCACTTTACACCACAGGGGGAGATACTACACCCGTTTCATAAAACTTTCAGGTCCCTAGACTACACAGGCAGGCTCATTACTGAACATGGGAGCCTTCCAGAACTTGCCAAGTTGGAGCAGCAGCTGGTCTCTAGAGCTCCATCTCTTCCTCTGTGCTAGCAACTGTCTCCAGACTATGGTAAAGCGGTGTGTCTGTGCACCGAGGCTCCAGCAACAGTTCAGTTCTCTGTGGGAAGGCAGTGCCGGCAGCTGCACGCTTTGTTTGGCTCTCTCCCATGTAGTTCTTAGGGTTAGAGGATGGCTTTGGCTTCTCAGAAAGGAGTTCAGGGAGAGGTTTCCAGAGCACAAGCTCCATGGAAGGACGGCTCCTGGGACAGAAAGCAGATCAACCTTTAGGACATGCAAACAAAGGCTGTCACCAGCTCCTGTTCACTACCCAACACCTTGCAGTTAGATATAAGCTGCAGTTAGATATGTTAAGGTCTGTTTTTTGTGCATCTCTACCCAAGTAACTACTGAAACAATTTCTGTTATTTTTGACCTTGATGTCTTTCATCAATTCTCATTATATAAATTTAAATCTTTGAATTAAAAAAGTTCACATTAGCAGCAGCAGCAGATATACTAGGACTGATACTGATTAGCATGGTCGCTGTACAAGGAAGCTACCCATGTCTTGCTTTGTTTTAAAGAGAGCTAGCGATATTTAAGAGAATTCAAACTGGACTTAGAAAAAAATTGTGCATGCATGTCTGAGTCTCTACGGGGATAGGAACATGTGTGTACATGGCAGTTGTGAGCCACCTGATGGGGGTGGTGGCAGGAATCAAACCCCAGTCCTCTATAAGAGCAGGATGTTCTGTAAGAAGTGAGCGTTGTTCCCACCCCTCACACACACAAAACCTAGGACCTCACACATGTATGTGCTCTACTTACTGATCTCACCAGCCCTGTATGTATTTTAAACCAATCAACCCACCAGCCTTAAAGCTGCCATGAATAGCTGTAATGTTCTAAGTATCCAATGTGAAAAACAGGGCCCCATGAGCTGGGTGTATTGGTGCATGCCTTTAATTCTGGCACTCAGGAGGTAGAGGAAGGTGAACCTCTGTGAGTTCAAGGCTGGCCTGATTTATATAGTGAGTTTCAGGATAGCCAGAGTTACATAGACTCTGTCACAAACAAAACACAGAAAAATAGGGCCCATGATTTAATTTAATGCTCTCTTTGAGGTAGGGGAATGGAACTAAAGCCTTACGTGGTAAGGACCACTAATCTATATCACTAGCTATAATGACACAGCTAGAGAAAAGTTTTTAATACGCAGATTTGCATGACTATAATTTTTTTGTTTTGATTTGTGACACTGAGTTTAATGCATGCTGAGCAACTGTTCTATTTCTACACTACTTCCCTAGCCCTGTGGGTGATTTCTGTTATTAAGTCACTGTACATGAAAATGAAATCCTGGACCAACTTAATTTCTGATGCCCTTTGTTTCTTATAGTTGTGAAGTAGAACGTTTTGCAGTTAAACCAAAACAATGACACTAAACATGCAAAATCATGTATTTTTTCCTAACCATAGCTGGGAGCAATACCTGTAATCCTAACACTTGGAAGTTGTAAGCAGGAGGGTCAGAAGTTCTAGGCTAGCCTGGACTACATGAGCACCCATCTCCAAAGTAAAGAAAAATTCCTTACCCTTGATATAAGAAAAATAGTCTGGGACACGGAAGTAAATAAGAAGAAAGTAACACAATGAGGAATACTCTCAAAGGCTCAGTTCTGGAAAACTACTGAGAGCAGCAGACACTATTTTGAGCAGGAGGGCACTGTGACCTGCATACACAGTGGCTACAACACTGACACACCCTCAGGGCTGAGCAGTTAATTATAACTTAGGCTCCGGCCTGTTGGAAAACCTGCTGGGTCCCCACAGCAATAGCTGTACTGCTCCTACTCTACCTGAGGGCAACAGCGCCCACACTATCGAGCGCTAGGTCCCCAGGGCGCCCTTCAGATCCCCACACTCAGCTTCAGTCTAGGTTTCCCAAGCAGCACTTAAACGCACTTTACAGCACAGCATACGATGAGGACTCACGCCTTCCACACTGGAGATGAAGCTGTCTTCAGTCTGCACTTTGCTTGGTAGGCTCTTGTGTTTGCTGGCCTGTTTCCTCCTCTCACCTCTTTTCCTTTAGTTACTCCTCCTCACCCTAAGCCCACCTGCTGTTTCTGTGTTTCTACTCTCAAAATATAACAAACAAGTTAACTGAGCTCCTTAAACTCTGGGCTTATTTTCTGCTTTCCTTTTTGTGGTGTTGAGAACAGAGCCCAAGGCTTTACACGGGCACCGCAAGCGCTCTTCCACGGGTCACTTCTCTAGTCCTTGCTTTTCTGATACAGAGCTCAGTGTATAGCTTAGTCTGGCCTGGTACTATCACATCCATCTTAAAAGTATGTTGTGTTTTGTCATTATTTTTCCCCTCTCTCTTCTTTTTTCCTTACTTTTTTTAAAGACAAAATCTCATTCTGTAGCCCTGGCTGGCCTAGAATTCACTATGTAGAGCAGACAGCCTGGAAACTAATACCCCTGCCTCTTGAGTTCTGCTGGGGTTTCTCAAACCCTGTCTAGCTTAAATTATGTTTTAAATCAAGAGCAAATGAAGCTGAGAGAGGACAACTGTGAACATGAACCTAGCCTGGGGTACAGAGTAACATTCCCACCACCCCCAAAACAAAACAAAGCGAAGAGCTAAACATTCTAGAAAGACCCCCAAAGAACGTGCTATGGTTTGTAGCATTTCTGTTTCCAGGTCTCTGTGCTGAGTCTGAGTCACTATGTACTTACATGGACTCAATCATTTTCTTTGTGAAGACTTCCTCAAATTCCCTCTTCAAGCCTGTTTTCATGGTTTCGGAAAGGATAAGACTTGGGAGGTGGCTAACATTTCTGTCACTTTCAACCTCTTCATCTTCGTCAATTATCCTAAATAAGTAATGAGGCAGAGAAAGAAAAAACATTAGTCAAGGTATTGTATGTTCTTGTAGTAAATAACGTTTGAGGCTAAGACTAAAATCGCAGGTGCTACAGTGAGATATCAAGTAAGCGACACTTCAGAGCAAAATGACCAAATGAGCTGCTTTTCTCCCAGGCAGGAAGAGCTTTCAGCAGTTCATTTAACAGAAAAGTTTTGGAACGGAGTCAAGTTTGAAGAATGTGTCCTAGAGAACTGATCTTGACATGGTTAGTAAAATGCTTAGTCAAGCTGTTAGAGCTTGCTTTACCATGTGAAGTTTCTGTTCTGCATTCCCTGTCTCCTGCATCACCACGTGACCCTGCCCAGCTTAGAACAGCAGCACCGAGCAGCCTGCAATGTCAGTACCTGTCCTCAATCTCCTGAAGCTTCCTCCTGGCAGCTTCACACTGCGGTTCTCCAGTTGTTTGATCCATTTCTTCACAGACAGCATCTAGCATGCTGGGTACAGAAAGGCCACTAGGACACGTGTTTACCCCATGACCTTCTATACCCTGGGCTGTGCCAAGAACCCATTCATTAGCAACTACACAAAGTTCAGCTTCGGTCAGTCGCTTTTTTCTTATTGGACACCTAGGAGGAAGGAAGAAAAAGCAAGAAGAAAAGAAAGAAAAAAAATTCCCATTTCAGATGAAATGTAAGTCATTTTTTTCTAATCAATTAAAAAATTCTTTTTAGCCAGGTGCTGGGATTCAGGCGTGTGCTATTGCACCTGGCTAAGGACAAAAATCTGTAGGAAAGATAAGACAACAAGCATCGCAATAAAAAAGACAAAGTAGGGTCAGAGGTGGCTCAGCAGTTAAGAGAACTGGCTTTTCCAGTGGATATAGGTTCAATTACCAACACCCATAAGGTAGTTCACAAATGTCTGTAATTCTAGTTCCACTGAATTCTATACTCTGCCCTGACACACAAGCAAATTACCCATACACACGAGACAATAGAGCAGCCATTTTTGATCCAGCCACACGCTGTCATTGCTGCATCAAGTTGTCCCCACCCCAAAGCGTCTGGTGGTCGCCAAACACACACACACTTCCTAAAGTGTGCTTCCAGTACCATAAGAACAGGCCACTAACATAAGTTTCTTGCCTTTGGCCATCTGTCCCTGACCAAGAATGGGATCTACCCTTCTCCTAGTCCATCTGCATCCTCCCTATATTAGTACTTAGGAGACCTTAGAACTCAAACCTAGCTTCTCCCTTTTGGAGATATTTGGAAAGGAGGGCCTAGAAAGTATCAGAGTAAGGATCCTATCACTGTACCTCTTCATTAAATTCCTTGCCTTTTAAGAAAGGAGGTTAACTATCTAAGCTCTTACACAGACTTGTACTTATTAGCACTATGACGTAAGCACGGCAAGCTGAAAGCAAGGCAGGCAGCTGGCTGCTGTTTACCCTGTTCTTCTTCTAAGTGTTTGGACCTGCTGCTCAGCAGCAGCATGGGTAGTGTCAGCTCTGGACCACATAACCAGAATGCCCACTCATCAGTCCCAGTTCAGAGCCACTACACTGAGGGTCAAAGGAGACGAAGGAACATGTTTATAAGGGAAAAAATTAAATCTATGTTAACACTGTGAAATCAATATTCAAGTCTCTGGAATTTAAAATCTGACATTAATGCTTCTTAAACTTGCATTAAAAAAACTGAATTTACTATGTTAGATTTAAAATTTTTATCTCATTCTAGGACTAGAAATATCTAGGAGACAAGATGCAGGAAGATCAGGAATTTAGGACCAGTGTCAGCTACACAGAAGTTTCAGGACAGCCTGAGTTACATGAAATTCGGCCAAAACCAACCGACCAACCAACCAGCCAGCCAGCCAGCCAAACAAACAAAAAACAAAAACAAAAAACCCAAAACTAAAAACCAAACCAAACCAAACAACAAAACAAAAGGCTTTAAGCTGTGTGTGGTGGTACATGCCTGTGAAACACCAGCTAAGAAAAAGTGTAACAAATCAGAACAGGCAATTTTCAGAACACCTAACAATTAATATATGAAATTGTTCTTTGACCATAGGTTATTTCATGCCTGTAGACCTACTTTGCTAATTAACAATTGAAGATCAATAGTGATTAAGTCCTAAAAACCTGTGAATTAAAAGGCTTCCTGAAGCTGGAGAGATGACTCACCAGTTAAAAGCATGCACTGCTCTTGCAGGTCCCAAGTTCAGTTCCCAGTACCCCTATCAGGTGGCTCACACTGGGATTAAAGGCATTCACCACTGCACCTGGCTTAATTTCTATACATTTAAGCAAACACTAGAACCAATAACTTAATAACCTAGAGCACTATGAAGACAAATAAGGTTCCTGAGTTATCTATAGCAATCCCAAGGCTTAGCATACCCCCTGATCTAGGGGTTTTTAATCTATGGCAACAGCTCAGCAGGAAGAGCGCTAGTCATGTAAGTATGAGGACCTGGGTTCAATCCCCAGGACCAACATAAAAAAAGCCAAGCATGGTGACTTGGAATACTAGCACCAGAGAGGCAGAGAGAGAGAAATCCCTGGGTTCTGCTCGACTCCTCACCACAGCTTACATGGTTAGCTCCAAGCCAGTGAGAAACCTTGTCTCAAAAACCAGGTGAGGGAGATGTCTCAGTGACTAAAAGCACGTTTGTGTCAGCATGAAGACTAAAGTATATTTGTAAATGACAGGTAGGCATGGTAGCCCACCTGCAATTATAGGACTCAGGAAATGGAGAAATCATAGAGCAAAACCTGGGTTCAAGTGAGATACCCTGCCTCAAATATAACACGAAGAATGATTGAAGTCAACCTTTGACCTCCACATATATGCACAAACCACACATAGGCACACATTTGCATGCGTCCGCACACACGAACACCCCCCCCCCCCCCCCCCCCAAACCAAACCAAACCAAAAAAACCTAGCAAGGCTAGGAATACTGGTACTTTAATCCCAACATTCAGGAAGCACAGGTAAGTGGCCAAAGCCATTTGGGTCTACATAGCAAATTCCAGGACAAAATAGTGAGACCCTGTCTCAAAACAAACAAAAAGGGCAGGGCAGTGGTGGTACACACATTTAACCCCAGCACTTCGAAGCCCTCCTAATTCAAGGCCAGCCTCAAAAACCAAAAATCCCAATCAAACCAGACCAAAAACCAACCAACGCAAAGGTGAATTGTAGGAGAGTAAAAACATCCAAGATGGACTTCTGCTTCCCTCAGCCCAAGTATACCTTCCCTTACTCAGCCACAAAACTAAGGTAACTTTCAAGCATTGTATTTTTGTTTTGTTTTCTCAGACTTTGTCTTTTTTATTGCAGGTTCCTTGTTGTATTATCTTTCTTCATGTGGCCCTGCTTGTGTTTGGAGATCCACCTACCTCTGATGGGATTAAAGGAGTGTGCCACCAGCTTCTGGCTTTTTTTTTTTAATGAGTCTAAGTATCAACAAATCTAGGCAATTCAAAAAGTTTTAAATTTTTTCTTTTTAAGACAAGTTCTCATGTTTCCAAAGCTGACCACAATTCAGTATGTTTCAGGGAACAGCCTTTAATGTCAGATCTTCCTGCCTCCACCTTCCTTCCAAGTGCTGAGCTCACTGGCTTTGTTTTGTGCTTTCAGCAAGGTCTTAGTGTGTAGCCCAGGGCTAGCCTCAAACTCTCAGGGATCCCATCTCACTAAGGATGACTGGAGTAAGCCATCATTTTCGGAGAAGAGTTGCGTTTCTACAACAGAGGGCGTGGTGGGGGTAGAATCGTACACACAGTTAAACTATCCAGAGCAGGGCTCCAGATAACTGACGTTCAATGGGACAGCAGCTGCACAGCATGCGCCAAGCCCTAGGTTTGCGCCTTAGCACAGGAAAAACAAAAAAGCAAGATGACTCAATGAGTGAAGACGCTGCCACCTAAATGACAAACTGAATTTGATCCTGGAACCTACATGGGGGTGGGGGCTGGGAATTAATTTCCAAACGCTGCCCTCTAACTTCACATCCCTATCACGGCACGTGTGTATATATGTAATAATAATGACTGAGAAAAGAAGAGGAAAAAACGCAGGTATTGATGCATGGTGGCATGTGGGCCTTTAATCTCAACGTGTAGGGGCAAGCAGATCCTGAAGTTGGAGGCCAGCCTACCCTACATAGCCCTGGCTAGGCAGGGCTACATACTGAAGCTGTCTTAAAACAAAAACCAACAGGTAGACCTCATACATACTCATTTGGAATAAGCTAAAAGTCAGTAAAAACAAACAACAAAACCCCGACGCTTTGCACTGTGAACAGGCATCTCGCTACAAACGTATAAACAATCGTAAGCACACAGTCCTCAGCTTTAAGTTTATGAACTCTCTATGGAGAAGTAACAAGCAAGTTACAAGCCCTTCCAATACATAGTCTCTTGTTTTCTTTCCGTTCTTGTTTTAAACTCTTCGTGTCTGTAACCACAGCTTAAAATTCAAACATTACACTGGTTACAATGAGTTTTCCTCTACACCGGCCACCCAGCTTCTGCTCCTAAAAGGCACCAGTTTAAATAGATACATTTTGACTTCACCTTTTTCCCGTAAACTAGGATGCACGTGTTAAACAGCGATCACAAAGAGGACAAACGGTCCTGAAACTTACTCATCATCCTCTGCCAAACGCTTGTGTTTCTTTCTACAGTGAAGGGAAACACTGTTGGAATAAACAAAAACAAATCGGTCAACCAAGACGAGAACTTAAAACTAAGATTTCTTCATCCTGTCTTCCTCGCCTCACTTATCGGCATCTCCCGCCACAAACTGAAAACTCCCTTCCCTGGCCGTGAGGGACCGACACAAGGTTCCAAGTGATCACGTCTTGCCGGAGACTCCAAATAACCACAGACAAGGAGATCTGAAGTTGTCACTTCTGTCGGGGCGGTGACAGCTGTGCACGCCTCCAGGACCCATCTCTGGCCCCACGCTGCCGACGAGGACCCCAAGTGTCCCAGAGACTCTCAAAGTTGTCCCGGCCGGCGGCCAGGCCGAAGGTCCCTGGGCAGGTCGCCGGCCCTGCGTCCCGGGACCCACGGTTAACGTCCCCACGGGGTTAACGGGCCCGCCCCGCCGGCTCCTCACCGTCCGCGCGCCGTTCTCCCACCCGGGCTGCTCGGCGCAGGGCGGACGCCCGGCCGCGGGGCCAGGTCATGGCCGGCGGCTCCCGGCGGGAAGGCCCGGCCCGCGAAGGCCGCCGGCGGCTGCAGGAAGTCCGCGCTGCCGCTCAGAGGGAGGCCGCTGAAGGGCCGGCCGAGCGCCGCCATGCCTTTCCAGGCGAGGCTGAGTCCGCGACCACAGTCGTTCGTGTCACCAGGCCCCTCAGTGGCAGCCACCGCCGCTGCCCACGAGAACCCGCCTCCGAGCCCGCTTCGACCCCTACGTCACGCCTTCTAGAACCCTCCACTCTGGGCCGCCCAGAGACACGTCGGGATTTGTTGTGAATAAAGGGGCGCTGTCGTGAGGCATGTCGGGAGTTGTAGTCCTTGAGGACTACAAGCAAGATGGCTGGCAGTATAGTTGGCAAATCCTTATGTGCTAGGTCAGGTTGCCCGTAGAATAACAAGAGTTCCAATCCGCATACAAAACACTGAGCTGGGCATGGTGGCTCATGACGATCTTCCCAGCTCTCATAAGGTGAAGACAGGATGTTCGAGGCTAGCCTTTGACTATGTACCACGGTCTAGGCCAGCCTGGTCTACATGAGACCATGTCCCCCCCCCCCCCCCCCCCCCAAAAAAAAAAAAAAAAAAAAAAGGTTAGATGCCTGTTTCCATGTCTTCTGTATGCATCGAGAGTTTCGGGCCAGCCATAGTTACATAGAGAGATCCTGTCTTAAAACAAAAAATGCCTAGGGGTGGACCCTGACAATTGGAGTATTATTCTAGAACCCAACGTAGAAGGAAAACGAACTCCGGCAAGTTGTTCTCTTTCAGTGGGCGTGGGGGTCAGGGGAGAAGGGGCTTGATGTGTGCTCTATCTCTAGGAACACACATGTGCTCTAATGCACACATAACAAGAAATAAATAGAACATACATAAATAGAAAATTAAAAATTATTAAAAATGTGGTGGTGGAGTGTGACTCAGTGGTAGGGCACATGTACAACAGCACAAAAATAGAAATTAAGCAGCTGAATGGCACACAACTGTAATCCCAGCACTGGGAAGGCTGAGGCAGAATTATTTGATGTCAACCTGAACAACAAAATAGGATGCTAAGGCTTAGAAAACCATCTACTCCACACACATACACACTTAATATACTGTCTTTTTTTTTTTTTTACATGTACTATGTTTTCTTTATCTGTTTTTCTTTTCTATATTTATTATTATTACAATTTATTCACTTGTATCCCAGTTATAGCCCTCTCTCTCATCCCTCCCAGTCCCATCCTCCTCCTCTTTCCCTGCTCCCATCCTTCTCCTTTAATCCATTGATAGGGGAAGTCCTCCTCCCCTACTATCTGACACTAGCCTATCAGGTCCCATCAGGACTGCCTGGATCCTCTGCCTTTTGTCATATAATATAGGATAAACATACTAAAATCTACAGACCTAAAGAAGCTAAACAACAAGGAGGACCCTAGCGAAGATGCTTAATTCTCATTCAGAAGGGCAAACAGGATAGACACTAGAAGTGGTAGAAGAGAGGGAACAGGATTGGAGCCTACCACAGATGTCCTCTTTTTTTTTTAATTAATTTATTATTTTTATGTATATGTATTTTAACTGTATGTACACCTGAATGCCAGAAGAGGGCATCAGATCATATTATAGATGGTTGTGAGCCACCACGTGGTTGCTGGGAATTGAACTCAGGACCTCGGGAAGAATGAGCAGCCAGTGCTCTTAACCACTGAGCCATCTCTCCAGCCCCAAAATGAAATCTTTGTTTTTTTTGTTTTGTTTTTGTTTGTTTGTTTGTTTTTGAGACAGGGTTTCTTTGTGTAGCCTTTGCTGGCCTAGACTTGGAGTTGAACCTGGCACATCCAGAAATGGTTACTGATGCCTTCTGTTTAGGGTATCAGAATTGGTCAACGCCATCATGGATTGTCTTAGGGTTTCCATTGCTGTGAAGAAACACATGCCCAAGGCATGTGGTGTTAGAAGGCTAATATTAATTGGGGCTGGTTTACAGTCTCAGAAGTTTAGTCCATTGTCATTATGGCGGGAAGCATGGCAGCTTGCAGGCAGATATGGTGCTGGAGGAGCCAAGAGTTGTACATCATGATCCAAAGGCAGCCAGGAGGGGAGGAGACTCGCACTGTGTATAACTTGAGTTTAGAAGACCTCAAAGCCCTGCCTCTACAGTAGCACACTTTCTCCAACAAGGCCACGCCTCCTAAGAGTGCCGCTCCCTATGGCCAAGCATTCAAACACACGAGTCTGTGGGGGTCACACTTATTCAAACCAACACACTGATCATTCCTCATTCTTTCACACCTTAAAGAATGATCCCATCATCCAATCTGAGTTGCTTATGCCAATGTCAATGCCATTTAGCCAAAGACTATTGAACGAGAGTGGATTTAATGAAGTGAGTTAGTGTCTTACCCAGGGGCAGTTCAGTTAGTGTTAAACGATTTGGAGGAAGGTTCGAAAAAGCAGCTTTGTATAAACAGGTGGTGGTGGCACAAGCCTGCAGTCCCAGCTTTAGAAAGGTAGGGGCAGCGGGATCTTAAAAATGTAAGGCCGGCCTCAGCTATGAAGGGAATGTAATGGAGGTGTGAGACCCTATTTCCAAAACAAACAAAAAGCTTCAACTGGAATGAATTGCTAGGAATTGAGGATAATTCTATAACTGGATATTTGGATTTGGTTTTTCCTTAGAAGATAAAGAAAGCTAAGTCTAGATGTTTGGTTATCTATGTAATTTGGACAATTGCCATTGTTTTAAATAAGAAAAGATTCAAGGTTTGAGAGATTCAAAGATGAATTTCAATCAAAGTATTCTTTACTAATCATAGTCACTACAGCCAGGGAAGCTGGGCTAGGAGAGCAAATAATTTGAGACACAAAGGAATTTTTCCCATTTTTATCTACTTTAGTAGAGGCCTCTGAGATTAAAAAGATGTCTCATCTTAGCAGATCAGTACTAGGTAAGATACAAAGCACTAATTTTGGAAACTAATTCTATTGTCCCACTATACCTTGGGGTTGCTGCATGCTGAGAGTTTACCGGTTTGGGGAAGGTATTAGAGAGGATAAGAGACACACAGCTATTTCTTCTATACATGTCTGTAGGCTTAGATTTTTCACCAAATCTTAAATGCTTCTACCTCCCTTCCACCCACCAACCAGAGATGGGAGGAAAAGGAGCTTATTAGGTAAAGGGGATTGTAGACCTTTTTGAAAGTAATTCCTTGGGATGAGTCCACTCTTTGTTGTCCAGATACCAGAAGTCCAGTCCAAAGGCCAACACTAAGCAGCAACATGAACCAGCAGGATTCAGAAGATGATTCAGAAGATCGGGACGAGTCAGTAAAAGCCGCAAGGCTCAGCTGGATCGCCCTGAGAGGTTCTCTGGAACATTTCTCTCTGTGAAGTCAAGTGTCAAAGCTCGAAGATTAGGACAGTGATGGCAGTCACTGTCCATGGGTTTCTATATATGTCCCCTCCTCAGAGAGCACCCACAAATGCTCTCAGCTGGCCAAAGTCATGCCCCTCACATGAGACAGCTCACAGCTGTCATGTGCCCTCTCACAAGCCAGCCTCCTGCAAAACATCACATGCCTTCTCATAAGACAGCTTCTAGCAAAACATCACATGATTCAACTGAATCTTCAAAGAAACCAGAAACTTCTACTTCACATGTCTATGTTATGACACAATTATCAAGTTGTGTGCATTTTTTCTTTATTTATTTTATCAAGGTTTCTTGAATCTTTTTCCCTCCTCTACCCGTTATCCCTCACAACACCCCAACACCGGGTAGAACGTTAGTGGGAGGGGAGCCATAGTACTCTTTAGCTACTTTTTTCTGGTTAGGGTTATTGGGTTCCTCGGGATATCTCCAAATTCTTGTCAAACTGCATCAACAACTACCAGGAGCAGCAGGGAAGGAAGCATCAGTAGCGCCCTCCTCCTTTCTTGGAGCCCCCTTTCTATCTCTATTTATTCCTTCTCTAGAGACCCCAGAATTCAACTATCTGCAGCTGGCAAAGATCTCACTCCTCTCAGAGGCCGACCAGCTCCTAACTTATCTGTTTGTTCTATGTGTGCAACATGGCTGTCTACTTCTCCTCAGTTTCATGTGTCCTTCCTTCCTCAGGGTCTGCAGCCGATTTCCCCTGACTCTATCCCAGGGTTCACCTCTTATTTTCTGCCTCAGCTAACAGGCTATCAACTTTTTATTGACAGGTGATGCTTCCATACAGTACACAAGCGATTCTCTACATCTCTCCCTTTTAGTTCAATAAAAGGCTCTTTCTTACCATGATAAGCTATATACAATAAGAACAATTGTGAAAACTATCATGTAAAAGTTAGAGTCACAATGTTCAGTCTATTTGTGTTTGGCAACCTAGGAGAAAGCACCTTACTATCTATCCTATCCTAGTGAGTTCAGAGTTCTGTACCAAAATCACTATCATAGCTTGTATTTATCAACCTAAAAATCTACTTAGACCTAACATAGCTTTAGAAACACTTTTTAAAATCCTAATGTGAGACCATAACTCTCTAGTCTTCATCAGAGACTTGAGAAGGAATACATATTACTGAGTATGCAGGAAGTGCAGCATGAGCAGTTTCCAAAATGTAGAAAAGGCAGAGACAGCTGGCTGCCTAGACAGTCACCCAATATTCTCAGCAACATGAGGCATCACCTGTGGCCTCCTGGCCCAGCATACGACAGACTTTCCTGTGAAGCAGGAATTATGAAGGACTGCCTACCTTGTCTTGGCAAAGATAGGAAATGGACTTCTTCTGTGTCCTGCTTGTCCACAGTGTTGACGGTACGCCATCTGCAGCTGAAGCAAGGGTCGTTTTCACCCAGTGGCGAGCTTACCACTCTTAAAGCAAACTCTTTATGGAGGTTCTTCGATGTGCAGCATCTTCTTTGCGATAGAATGGGGGTGCTGGCAGAAGCTGACGTCTCACTGTCAAAATACCCTTTAATAAAAACATCTTTAAATGCTGTACTATGTGGCTCTCTGAGGTTTTGAAGACCATCTAGCTGTCTATTTATGGCAAATCTGAATAGACAAACATTGCTCATTTCTAGCTATTTCCTATCTGTTCAACTTAGGAAACATATTTCTGTAGTTACTCAGACTAGTATCCAACATGATCATAAGTTTGATTGTCTGACTGCTAACTTGCATTTCTTAATTATCCTAAACAGTATAGGAGCTTTCAAAAGGACTAGAACCTTTATCAATGCAAAATATTTGATATTAGTAATTACTCTTTAGTTTAAGCAGATTCAATAATCTATCCTTTTATCCTATTACTATTACCTATGTTATTCTTTTATTTCTCCTTTTTTCTTTTCCTCCCTTCTGCTCCTTTTCTCCTTAACAGTAGATAAAAGAGAAAGAAAGATAAAGGGAAGAAAACAAAAGAGAGAAATCCCTGAGTCTAAGCTCCTATGCCTTGTTTCTCTCCCATGACCAAGATCATTTAACAACTTGCAAACAACTTCCTTTTAATGACAAATATCTATCACCCATAGAACAACCCAAAGCTACCCACTCCACTTTTTGGGAAATGGGGCGTCACTCTTTTAAAATTGCTTCATGCTATCTGAGGGTGTTGTTTTCCTTTTTAGGGGTCCAAGGAAATTGGGATATTGGCCAGTCTTAGGACAGCTAGCTGTATTATTTGTTGTCCAGTCTCTGTGTGCTTGGAAAGTGAAGGGCTAAACTGAAGTCCTGGCTGGCACAGTCTGTGAGGTTGGACAATTTAGGTAGCCATTTTAAGTTGTTCTGGATGCAGGTTTTTTAATGTACGTCAGTGTTTTTACTGTATGTGTGTTTGTGTGAGGGTGTCAGATGCCCTGACACCAGGGTTACAGACAGTTGTGAGCTGCCATGTGGGTGTTGGGAATTGAACCTGGGTCCTCTGGAATTGCAGCTGGTGCTCTTAACCACAGAGCCATCTCTCCAGCCCCTGGATGCAGATTTTTGAGGAAACAGCTACCGAGGCAGTCTGTGATTGGATCAAGTAGACTACTAGAACAAACATGTCTCAGTGTCTCAGCATCCTTCAGGATGAATCCTGTCAGGACCACTCCAACTTCATTGCTGTCTGGTCCTTTTGTTCGGTAAACATATAAACTTTCACAGGCAATATACATTTTTGCATCAACACATGTATGGAATGTGCAGAGTGCACAGTTTAGCTGAAAAATGATTCTCTGCTCTTTGTTAGAGCAGGTGAAGGGCAACCATTTTTTCTTTATAAGCCAGTCTGGGCCGCATAACCAAACTGTAATATAAATGTTCATCTATGACATATGGAAGGATGGCATGATAAGTCTTGAGGACTCTGTAGCCAGCAAGATTTATTGGTTCTGCAGAGACATTTTCTCATGTCTCAGCCAGCCTCAGAGCTGTTCCCCCTCAGCTCTAGTATTACCTGTTTTGTTGGTCTTCTTAATTTCTTTCTTTTTGTCTGCAGTCAAGATTGTCAGGGGTCTATACCCTGGTCATATCTGATTTTTTAACTAATCTGGATGGAATACATAGTCTTTCTTCTCCTATTGAAATAAATACAAAACTGCTCCTCCGAGGTAAACACATCTCCTGATTTCCATTCTGAGGCTAGAACACCCATGGGGTGATCGAACTCAGCAGTCCTTTCTAAAACCCAGTGTTTTCCAGCAGCTGCGCTAATTGTCTCGTTGACATTTCAAAGATTTAAAGTTAATAAATAATTATTTAATCTACTTCTAGGCGATCCCACTTCCCCCGTCTGTGCTGTGAGCATTTTCTTTTAAACTCTGTTAGATTTCTCTGTAGCTGTTTGTCTCGTAGGATTGTGGGGCATATACCTGTAACATATTTCATGTCACGATGTCTAAAATGTTGTTGTGCTCTATTGGACACGTATGTCGAAGCATTGTCAGCTGCAATCTGTTAAGGCATTTCCAAGACAGCCGTCACCTCTGATAAATATGCAATGTCAGAATCATCTTTTTCAGAATTCAAGGCAAAAGCCCACCGGGATTCCGAATATGGTGCACAGTTTTTAGTCTTCTAAACTTTGTAAAATGCAACACGCCATCTATTGCATGACATTTCTCTAAGGTGACATTGAACAGAATCTGACTTTCAACTTACCCAGCAATCGATCCTTGACAATATAGCTATATTTAGTCTGATTATGCTGGTTCGTAGCTCAAGCGTTTTGATCTGGCATCTCTATGGGCTGCCATTTTGTAATTTCCTTAAGCCTTTGCTGTAGCGCTCCTTTCTAAGACTACTTTATTTGGGGCATTTAGGCCTCAAGCTCCCTTCCAACCTCTCTCCTGCGTAGGAGAGAGAAGGTTAGTGGGGAGAGAGGGCCCCTTTACTTCTCTTGGCTGTTTAGGGTCGAGGGCTTCTTTTAGGGCTCGATGCCAATCTCCGTAAGTAGCAGACAGAGCCAGCGGCAGCCTTTCTCTCCATCTGTCAGCTCCAAACCGCCACACCACCCGTCTGTCAGGTCTCTCCAAACTGCTACACACCACAAGCCAGCCCCAAACACCATGCCACCTCTCTCCTCGGAGTCCTGGACCACGCCCCTCTCCATTCCACACAAGGCAGGCCGTTACCAGCTGGCAAAAGCCACAACCCACACAAGACAGTTCACAGCTGTAGAATTAACAGCTGTGGACAAAGTAAAGTCCAACTAAAATCCCACATTTAGGATTAAAACAAAAACATATTTACACAACATACCGAGTTTACAAAGAAACCAAACTTCCATTACACTGTAGATCGCTCTCATCTGGGACTGTTTTTTTTTTTTTTTTTTGCGGTCATTGCAGGTTCCAGATTGGAGTTCTTTGATGATTCTCTATTCTGATTTAAAGAACCCTTTAATCTCTGTCTTTTTCTTCTCTAAGTCTGTTTTCTTTTAATCTCTTTTAAAGGGATATATAAAATTGTAATTATTACTGAAAAAAATAGTTATTTGTATGCTGGAAATCAAGACAAAATCACATGAGATCCCGATGCACTGTGTCACAGCATTTTTCCTTTGTTTAACACAGAAAATATTTTTCTTCTTAATCTCTCTCTCCTTAAGGACTTCCCAAGTAGCTTACAGGGTCTGTTGACTTTTCAGCTTTTTTTGCCTTTTCCACGTGTCTGTAGCTAAGCCAAGTCTCTCTGGGGCTCGGGTAGCATGTCGTGAAGGCTGCTGGCTCTGCCTCTTCCCCCGGGGGCTCAGAAGCCGGCTGGAAAAGCCTGGGCTTCCGTGCCGGGCGTGCAGGGAGCTGTTCTGCCCATTTAGCCAGCAGCTCACAGGCCTCTACCCCCCAGCTTTGGCTGTGGCCACCGCCTGCTTTCTGGGAAAGCCAAGAGAGCACAGGGCAGCGCGTCTCGCTGTGTTGGCTCTGTTGCAGCTCTAGGCGCTCCTCAGGCTGCTCAGCGCGGGGCAGTGAGATGCTCCTTCTGCTGCTGTGGAGGCACCTCGGGAAGTGTACCGAGGCTGCGGTCCCCGTTCCACCCACTCGTCACAATGCTCTGCTCAGCAGGGCGGGGGCGGAGGGGGGCGTTTTAAAGGAGCCGCCTTCTGCACCGCCTCTGTGGTTTCCTGTTCCTTCCCCACTCTTTGGCTAGGAAACAGATTTCCACCTGCCAGTTCTCAGACTCTAAACCTGGATTCTAAGAGTCCCTACGTTGGACGTCATTTGTAACTGCGAGCTATTCCTCCTGCGCCCCAGTTCCTGAAATAAAGGCTCTGAGACCTTATTATTTGTGAATAAATGCCTGGGCCATAAGCTTTTGCCCCTTCCCCGACTAGCTCATAGCTTATTTTACTCTATTCTGTGTGCCGCAGGCCTGGTTACCTCTCCCCAGTTTCAGGTCTTTTTCAGAGCCAGGGATGAATCTGCCTCCGACTCTATCAGAGTTCATCTCTCTCTGCCAGAATTCCCCCCTCCTATTTCCTGCCTCAGCTAACAATTTATCAGCTTTTTACTGACAGGTGAATGCTTCCATACAGTATACAAAATATTCTCTCTACAGCTTATCCTCTAGGAAAACAATTATCCGAGAGCCAAATGTTAGGGGCAAAGAAAGGCTTTATGCAGCGGCCAAAGAATGGAGAATTACTTGTACACCAAGTTTTCCACTCCAGGTCTTAGTCCGCCAGGCAAGACTAAGACAACTACCACAAACTTTCAGCCAAATTTGAAGCAAGTTTGATTAAACAGTGGCCAGGACCATGGATGCTGGCCAGGTTCATGCCCAAGACCCCTGCTCAGAATATGGCTCAGAATTATGCTAGTCGAGGTCTTTTAAGGACAAAACCCATGGGGCTGGAGAGATGGCTCAGAGGTTAAGAACACTGGCTGTTCTTCCAAAGGTCCTGAGTTTCAATTCCCAGCAAACCACATGGTGGCTCATAACCATCTATGGTGAGATCTGGTGCCCTCTTCTGGTGCATAAGGACACGTGTAGGCAGAATGCTGTATGAATAAATAAATAAATAAATAAATAAATAAATAAATAAATAAATAAATAAATAAGTAAGTAAGTAAGTAAGTAAGTAAGTTAATTAATTAAATAAAGAAAGACAAAACCCATAAGGCCACATATTTTCCACCATTGTCCAATCAGAGACAAGCATACATCCTGGCATACTGTCCCTGAAGCAACCAGGCTTGTTTACAGAAGCAAAAACACGTGGCTTGTTATCTTACATAAACAGCAGCCCCAGCTTCCTTTTCTGTCCTTGGGCAAACGGGGCTTGCAGGTTAGAGGTATTTTTGTTTTACGGATCTTTTAAGTAGAGTAATTTAAACTTAAGATATACTATAAGCCATCACACAGAGAGACTGATGGATCGAGATAGAGGGTAGGAATGATGGAGAGACCCGAATTAATAGAAGACTATCAAGCCCTTTCGGGAAATAGGCAAAGGGCTTCCAGGAACTTGTACCACCAATTTCCACTATGTCGTGATCTGGTGCTCTGGTCATGGTAGCTGGGAGGTGTTCTTAGCCTTGATGAGAGCCTATGCCAATTTAGGGAAAGATAGACCTGGATTATAGTTCTGGGTGAGACATTCATACAACTGGGAAATCACAAGTGTGCCTTGCATCCTATGTGTTCTGCAACTCCGTCCTCATGTAAGTGTGTCAGAGCATATGGGATGATCTCCATGTGTGTGCATATGCATACACGCGTGTTCATACCCAGATGTGTGTGCAGGCACGTGTGTGCCTTTGTCTCTATGTATCGATACTTGTATACATGTTGATGTGTGTGTGTAGTGCTCCGTTTTAAAACTCTACTTTATTTGGGGTGTTTAGGCTCAACCTCCCTTCCAACCTCCCAACCCTACTAGGAGAGAGGTTAGTGGGGAGAGAGAGCGCCTTACCTCTCCTGGCTGCTTGGGGTGGAGGGGTTCCTTTAGGGCTCCATGCCAGTCCCTGCCAGCAGCAGATGCAGCCAGCGGGCTCCTTCAATCCGCTGCCCCCTGAAGCGTTTCATTCCATCTGTCTGCTCCACACCGCCACGCCTCTCTGGTCTCTCCAAACTGCCACACTCCACACGCCAACGACGAATACCCCGCCACGCTGCTTTCTGGACTCCCACATTTAACATCCTCAGAGTCCCGGACCACTCACCTCTCTGCGCAGCTCGATGAAGGCTGTTACCGGCTGGCAAGAGCCACGCCCCACAGGAGACAGTGCACAGCTGTGCACAAACTGTAGCCCAACTAAAATCCCACACTTGGGATTCAAACGAAACCATATTTACATAACATAACTGAGTTTACAAAAAAAAACCCCAAAACTTCCATGACATGTGTGTACATGTGCGTGTTCAGGGTTACATAGTCACTTGTTTTCATATGTATATATTTATACCTATGCTCACACACACATGTTGGTGTCTGTTCTGTGTATCCTTTGTGTGTAAATATGTACATGTGTGTGCACTTGTTTGCAAATGTGTGTCTATGTCCCATATTGGTATGTTCGTGCCTGCCTCTGCAAACATCTGTGTGCGTGTGTGTCTGTGAACGTGTCTGTGGGCCTTTGTGTATTCTGTGCTCAGTGCATAGGTGTATTCGTTTAACTATGTCAGTGTGTGTGCCTAGGGGAACGTAAGTGCACAAATGTACATGTGCATATGTGTGTTTGTATGTAGCTGGTTTGCACATGGCAGTGTGCGCCTGCTGCCTATCTCAAAGGAGAAAAAGGTATACAACTGTGACACCTCATCAGTGTCTTTCTGCTTCCGCTTGCACCAGTGCTAATTTCATCCCCAAAATAATCTCTGCACTTCAAGTGATCACTATTAGGTGATCACCATTAATTAATAAATTATTAATATGTAATCACAATTTATTCTGAAACCATCATTCTCATACAAGTCTGCCTTATGGAACTAATTTTGGAGGCAACGGTGGTTTTTTTCTTGAGTTTCCCAGAAAGCTCATTCGTGTTGGTGACAGTGGACACTACATGAACCAATCTCAAGTGTTTTGTCACCTAAAAAATCACATGATCATACTATGTTATTATTGAGTAGCCATATGTTTTCAAGTAAAGAACGTTAAATATGAAAAAATATAAACGAAAAATGACATTTTGGGTCAAAATAATAAGACACAGAATTTTTAAAAATATGCATCATACTATTTTTTTTCTTATTTGTTTTTTTTGTTTTGCTTTTTAAAGACAGTGTCTTTCTCCATCTCCACGGTTATCTTGATAGCAGTGTGTAGACCAGGCTGGTCTTAAACACACAGAGATCATCCTGCCTTTGCCCTCTAGTTCTGGGATTAAAGAAGTCTACTACCACACCTGCCTAAGATATCCCTTATGATCATAATCTCCACAAAGCTGGAAGCAAAGAAATGTTGTAAAGGAACACTAACGCCTTACAGAACCATGAGCTTGACCTCTGCATTGAAAAAATATTCAAAGAAAAACAAATGACATTTATCTAGGTGTTTACTCTGAAGTTTAAGATAAATTTATAAAAAAACAACAAAACAATTATATTTTGTTGGCAGTTTAAAAAGAAGATTGAAAAGCATTTTCTCAATTGAGAGTCGCTCTTCCCGAGCAACTCTCACTACTATGAAACTGAAAACAACTGACCAGACAAGCACAGATTACACCCAGGATAATTCTTCAGTTGTCACTAGAGGCTGGTTGATGTCGTCACCTGACAGAAGGCAATGCCATTCACTGAAACACTGTTTTTGCACCAGATTACAGGGAAACAGAAAGGAAGGTGTCTTTAGGATAAGTGTTGCTTATCATTTGAATGTTTGCTTTGAAACTCTTATATATATATATTTATTTACTTACTTTTTTATTAGGTTTATTTATTTAGTTACTTAATGTATGAGTGCTCTATCTCCATGTACACCTTCACACCAGAAGAGGGCACCAGATCTCATCATAGATGGTTGTGAGCAGACAGTGTTCTTAACCTCTGAGCCATCCCTCCAGCCCCTGTTTTATATTTTTTAAACAAATGAGAATGACAGTTACGCAACGTTACGTCATCCCTGTGAATTTCTGAGTTGTCTCTGGTGGCAATGTCTCTTTGACCAGCTTTCTCCTTCACTCCTCTGACAGGGACTTGAGATTCCTGGGGTCTGAGGACATCAGGTGCCAGGCTTTGATAGGAAGAGGCTTCAGTGCCACAACTGGCCTCAAGTCCCAGACCATATTCATCCCACAGACATTCCAGCTTCCTCCTGGCCTAGACCCTAAGAATTAGCCTTTCCTGTCTTTATTCTTTCTATTCCTGCCATAATAGAAAGGATCGAGTATCTTACTCTACATGGTCAGTATAGTTCTTGACACAAAGAACCTTTTACAACATCTAAATCGAGCATAATCTTATTTTCCATGTATTTTTCTTCGTTACACGGCCTTGCTCCTCCATGCCGTGGAGGCAAGGTCCCCTAGGACTACAGTTGGGCAATTTGCCTTAGCTGAGAATCCTAACCCTCACAGCAGCCAGGTGGTCCCCAGACAGATCAGGTGGCTTGGCTGCTCCTGCTTCATCTCGGTAATAAAGAAGCTGCCAACCCAGGCACCACACACTGCAGGGGGGAGATCTGACACCCCTAGAGTTTTCTCCTGACCATTCTGAAACATTTCTGCGAATCAGGTTTTCTGAAGGTGAGAACCCACACAGCAGCCACGGTGCAGACCCCAGAGGGGATTCCATTATAAAACAGGAAGTTGATGAGGGCTGTGGCGTGGTCACGGGTCAGGTGTATTTGAGGTTTTAAATTTCCATGCAGGTTTGTGTTACACACAAAGCACATGCTTGCTGTTGAATGCTACCTCACTCTTCATAGCCTTACTCTCTCCCCAAGACAATTTCACTTTGACTTTCTTTTCTTCTATTTGAAATTTAATTTGCTTACATTATCTTATGATGAGTCTATCTTAATTTCTTTTCTTTTCTTTTTTTTTTTAAATTTATTTATTATGTCTACAGTATTCTGCCTACATGT